CCAGTAGGGGGATAGCAGGCTTGAGTGGGATTTCCAGTCCTAGTTTTCTAAGGAGTCTCCACACTGATTTCCATAATGGTTGCACCAGTCTATACTCCCACCAACAGTGGAGAAGGGTGCCCCTTTCCCCACAGCCTCTCCAACATTTGTTGTTGGTTGATTTCTTTATGATAGCCAATCTTTCTGGGGTGAGATGGTATATCATAGTGTTTATATTCAAGTACCCTTATTTTAATTAATGACTATAAAAATGCAAGAACAGTGATGCTGGTAATTTGAATATGTCAGAGAGAACCTAAAAAGTCCCTCCCTTACGAGAAAGGCAAAGTGTTTACCATATGTTGTATGTATAGAATTCAGTACTACCTGCAATTTTAGGCATTTATGGGGGTCTTGGAACATATCCACCCCAAGGATAAAGGAGGCTACTATACATGCTGAGTCCCCCAAGTGATTCAATCCCCAAATCGAAGGGTCCCCTGATACAAGACACTGCTATGAATAGGAACATACACATGTAACACTCAGAAAAATATTCATGTCCTTTAAGTAGTAATTCCTTTCTAAGAATTCCATGGAAATTATTAAAAAACAAACAAACAAAAATAAAACAGGACCAGGAATTTGTGTAGCTAGAATAGAAAGTTGATATTTGGTATAGTATTTCTAAAACTAAAAAACTAGAAGAATCCAAATGTTGTTAAAAGCAAGATATGCTAAGCATTCAATAAAATATTGTTATATTACATTAATTGAATGATTACACCATGATTTAAAAATTACTATTATTAAGGCCATCATAAAGTGCTAAAGATACATATGCTAAGAACACACAAAAAAGAAAATTATTTGCATGTTGACAATCATGCTAAAAATTCATTAAAAATATTGAATGACCAAAGGATCAGTAGCTATGCTTCAGTAAAAAACCGTTTTATTTTTTCAAAAGCTAATAACGTCTTCATTTTAGTTCAAAATATTCAAATCATCTACTTAAGAAGACATGTTTTCTAATCTCTTAATTTATATTTTACTTTCATATATTACTTATATTAATATACTTACCATAAATTTTTCTGATTTCCAGCCCAAGTCGATCTTTATACAAGTCTGCTGACTTCTGCAGCCTTTGCAACCTTTCTTCATTAGCTTTGCTAGCTGTGGAAATAGCTATAATAGAAGACAAACACACCATAGCACATATTTTAACTCAACTGATGCTCATTGAATTGATTTTAAGAAACTTGGACGCAACTACTAAAATAATGCCAGGCATAGGAATCTGTTTACATTTAAAGTTTCTGTCTCTACTGATTAGCAAAAGGGACTTCTGCTCGTTTAGGATGGAAGGGAAAGTTACTGAGATGCAGAGAATCAGTTCAGGGAACTGTGTGGCTAGAGTAGAACCAGCCTTCAGTTTACACTATTCTGGTTTTTCTAGATAGCCAAAGATACACTGACTGCTTCATAGAAAAACAATTCCATTCCTAATTTTTAGGAATTACTTTCTCATGAGAAAAGGGCCCTTTTTATGCTAGTTGGGAATTTCTTTTTTTAAATTAGCACAATAATCTCTAAGTAATCCTTGGTAGATGAGAAAAATTTCACACTTGAATCTCGGGTAAGAACTCTATAAAAAAAGTGAAACTAATTTGGTTATTTTAAGATGTGAAGAATCAATTCTATAGTTTATGAGTACGCAGGCCCCTTTCTAATGAAGCATGAATTTAGATATGAATTTTTTTGAGCACTGAGACCGCAGCATAATGGGTACTCGTGCTTCCTGGCAGAGTGCGGATGGCCAGCAAGCATCTGCTGCATAAATCACACCAGGGCGAATCCCATTTAGGGACACTGTCTCCCACCATTTAATTAAACCCCTCATATCTCAAAATTTATGTGTCAGCCCCCTGCCCGCCCCCAGTGGGAATCCAGGTGGGGTGCGCACACGTTCAAAGGCCGTTCTGTGTGCATACAACCCTGCCATAGTGAACCCGTTAACCTGTAAAACAAATTCAAAAAGAGCAAAAATCCCCTCATACCGATGTTGTTATTGCTCTGATTGAACAGAAATTAAAAGAAAAAGTAAAAGAGAACAAAATCACCCCTGCTTGGGCAGCCGCAGTGGCATGCTGCAGAGCTGAGCTCCGGCCTCGCCCTCGGGCACGCATCCGTGTCCAGCAGTGAGGGACGGCCGACGGAGACGCACACAACGGGGACCTACGGACACTCTACAATGTATGTTATTAATATAACCGAAACCTACTTTCTTTCTTCCTAGAATATTCTTCTTTAAGATCCTGAATATTTGCGGTGAGGATTTCCAGTTCCTGATTTTTGCCTTTCACTTCAGCAATCAACCTTAAAAGATTATTTTTCTTTTCTTGAATCATCTTATTCTGCTCACAGACCTCTGTAAGAAGCACACGATATTTGCTAATTACATACGCTTTGCTCTCTGATATGCAGCTAAGAAAAAGACCATTTATTGACTTTATAAGACTAATAGTGTTTTGAATGAGAAGCATTTTGTAGTGAGTTAAAAATTATAAGGCATATATATATATACACACAAATTCTATTCTTTCAACTTCTCTTTGAAAACAAAAATGAGATAAAAATGGTTTTTAAAATGAAAATACAAAATTAAATCATAAAATAAATTATCAGAAGATCATGACTCCCGAGTTTCCCATTCCAAATAAATAGAAAAATAAGCACATCACAAAAAATAACCAAACTGGAGAAGACAGCCTTTCAAAGAGCTTTCCATTAAGAAATACCTTGTGAAGCTGTCTGTATAGTTCCTTGAATGGGGGCCTCAAGAGGCAAGTGGTGGTATCTTCCTAGTAAAGCTAAGAAGAGAACCGAAGAATTCAGGGTTCTCCTACCCACCAAGCAGCTCCCAGCATGGGCTATGTGTGTGTGATGCCAATCCTAGAAGTGGGTCGAGGGTCTCAAGGTTGCAAAGAGAGAGACATGCAATCATGACCACTGCTCCCCGCCCCCCATTGCTACCTTCTCTGAGGTCCTGTTAACCCCACGAGTCCTAAACTTAAGCCACCAAAAGCTTTCTCCCCCGGGTTTCCCCTGATCCTCCAAGCAGATGAACTAAGGCAAGAAAGCTGGTGTGCAGGAGTCAACTCATAGCAGGAGGAGAAGTAGGAAAATGGAATGCAAAGAACCCTGCTCTAGGGGAGGAGCTGCCTTAAAAGTCCTTTAGGGACAGAGAAAAGGAAGCCCGCATTAAGAGGCAAAAATTGAGCAGGGCATGGTAGCATATCCCTGTAATCCCAGCACTTGGGAGGCTGAGGCACGAGGATTGTTGTGAGTTCAAGACCAGCCTGGGCTACGAAGTAGAAAATAATTTCTTTAACATGATAGAAACAAAACCTTTTAAATCTCATAATATGCTTAAAACAAAATACTGTCATTTCCAAAAGGAATAAAAAGAATGCCTGGTATCATTGCTAGATAATATTTCTCCCTAGAAGTTTCTGGTCAATTTACAAAATATATAACTGATAAAACTATTGGAAAGGAAAAGATATCAGACATCTACTTTGAATGTAAACAAAAATCTACTGAGTCCATAAGAATTTGTAGTTCTAAATATCACAAAATCAATAGCTTTCACAAATAATATCAATGATAAATAGATAAAACTAGTTGTGTTTATGCTATTAATAACAGCATATTAGTTTTTGCTGTCACATGCTACTTTTCATTATAAAAGAGCAGCTTTTACAGTTGATTAATCAGACCTCACTTCCTCTTCTTGCCTTCAATCCCTCCAGCTTCCTGACCCAGCCCATGTCCCTGGACACAGACCCACAAGCCCTGCTGCCTCCTTTGTCCACTCAGCCTCCCCAGCTACCAAATCCCTCACACACATACTCAACATGTAAAAAGCAGCAAAGCCTGAACCGACACCTGGCAGATTCTTCTGCTGGGAGAAGGTAAGAACCCTGCCCAGCCACTCTTGCCCTCACTGGTTGGAAAACAAACACAGCTTCTGCACGCAGGCCCACTGACAGGGACTGAGGTCCCCAAAGTGCCCATGAGGAAGTTAAATAGGACAGCACAGCACAGCACTAAAAGCCTAAAAACTCCAGAGCAGAGGGTATGGAGGCTAAAAAAAAAAAAAAAAAGCAAAAATCCAGTACAGCTTCCAAATGTACTTATGAATTTCTCAATTAAATCACTAATATTTAAATAAAATTAGAATATTTTTAAGACGTTATTAACCAGCAGGCCTACATTTAAAAAGCCAAAATATACTATTGTCATTTAATTACAGCATCATAATTACAAAGGAATATGTGCTCAAAGGATAAGTGATGTTTACAAACTTTTTTTAGGGCCAGGGATAGAGCTCAGTGGTATAAGCACCTGCCTGGCAATCACAAGGTCCCAAGTTTGATCCTCCATACTACAAAAAATTAAAAATTAAAATTAAAAAAAAGTGCATGTATTACAGAACTTGAGGACCTTAAATACCATGAATCTTCCAAAGGGAACTGACACTCTGACCTATCTCCAAAATTAAACTGAGCATGAAATTGTTTCCATGAGGAACTTCTTTAAAGACTGATCTTCTGGGCTGGGGAGATGGCTCAGTGGAATAAGTGCTTCCCTGGCAAGTGCAAGGGCCCAAGTTCAATCCTCGGTTCTTTAAAAAAAAAAAAAAAAAAAAAAAAAAGACTGATCTTCCTCAGGAAACAAAGTAGTCTCATTTACAGTGATGTACAAAATATTCAGGAATAAACTTGATCAAGAAACAGACTCTGAATGAAAAAAAAACAAAAAAAAAAAAACAAACAAGCAAACTGTACAACTTGTCTGAGGCATGTGTTTGACTTGGATATCTGGAATGACATTTTATTTGGCGGTACCGGGGATCAAACTTGGGACCTTGTGCTTACCAGGCAGGCGCTTATGCCACTGAGTTACCTCCCTGACTTGGAATGACATTTTATAATGCTTCTGCATATTATAAAGATGCCAATATTTCCCAAGTTCACATTACATTTAATATAGCCCTAAGGGAACAGTGGAGGGCAAAGGAGGGTCTAATAAAAAATTAATTTGTCTGACAATACACAGATGAGAATAGAAAATACAGAGGAAAAACAGCACAGGAAGGCAATGGCCTTGTCAGATGTAGCATTTGTGATTGAGGCACAATCCAGCAGTGAGCACTAGCTGAAGAACTGATACACAGCTCATAAAACAGAAAAGGCATTCGCAAGTTAATACACTTAAGAAGTCAGCATGATAAAGGAAATATCAGAGATCAAGAGGAAGAACACTCCCTAATCAGTACTAGAATCCAAAATAAATCCATATTTCTTAAATATAAAAACTTATAAAATCTGAAAAGCAACATCTGTGAATATAAAATTAATTATATGGAGAATGATCTTTTTACACAAAGGCAAAAATAAAGAAAGCAAGCCACTTGTTGGCTACATAAAACTTGACACATAGGTAACACAAGTTCTGTTTGACTCCAAGAAGAATAAAACTCTATACATCGGGTACTTTGTTCAACATTTTCTATGTATATAAATTTGCTTAAGATTCACAGCAATCCTATTCTGCAGGCCTTAGTCTCTCTTTTAAAAGAAAAAGGAAACACACAGCAGCTCAGTAACTTGTCTGAAGCTGAGCTAAGGTGAAATAAACAGTTCAGCCTGGACCTACTCAAGTCTCCAAGGGCAATGATTTTTGGTCATGAAACTATCCTCCTCCAACAATGGGCTACTATTTTAATCTAGAGAAAACACAAATGCAAATTTCTCAGGGAAGTGGAGAGGACAGGCAGAAGAGATAAAACAGACAAAAAACTGAATAGCTAACAGATATGAGAGCTAATTCAACCTCCACATTAATCACAGAAATGCAAATAACATAGCAATTTTCATTTATTACAGCAATGTTTACAAAAATAATAGAGAGTGTTGAAAGGAATGCAAAGAGCTAGACTCCCGGAAAATATTGACATTGTGAAACAAAAAAAGTCTTAAGGATACTTACGTCCTTTAATCTAGTGAGTTCATTTTTACAAGTGACACTAGAAAAGCAGGATATGGGCAAATATTTATATCCAAAAATGTTTTTCAGTGTTTATGATGAAAACACTGAAAGGATTCTAAATGTCTAAAAAGTACATGATTAAAAGTATGGTCCAACAGTAAAATGGAACATACTGTCAAAGAGCTTAGTAGAATGCGAGAAATACTCTCAAAGTAGAAAAAATACTTACAAAAGATATCTTGAACACAATGTTATAAAACTGCACAGCACACAGTAAATAAAAGCTAGAAAGTCATTTTTTTTTAAATGTAGTTCTCAACATTACAGACAATAGCTGTTTATTTTTCTGTACTTTCCAAACTTTTGGACATTATCAGATATTATACCAAGTATAATCTAAAAATAAACATCAGAATTACCAGAAAGTAAAATGCAATTTTTTAAAATGTATTTAATACAGGGTCTACAGGGTCTCACTACACAGATCGTACTGATCCTCCTGTTTTCAGCCTCCCAAGCGCTGGGATTACAGGCATGCACCACCACACCCAGTCTCAGTGACTGTCTCAGCACACCCTGAGGGCGGGGCCAGCACAGCATGCCTGGGATCGAACCCCCACCGCTGCAGTCTGCCTAAGAAGGCGCTTTAGTCCACTAAGCTATCTGGCTGGCTCAAAATGCAATTCTTTAAAGGAAATTATTTAGTAGAACTATAATGCAAAACAAATCCAAATTTAAAGTAGAAAGATCTCAGCTCCAATTTGACTCTTCATTTACTTCTCCAAGACTCTGGTCAAATATTTCTGAAATTCTCCTCATTTATGAAAAGTGGGTATGGTAGCAATGCCTACCACACTCACTAACTTCACAGGGTCACCTCCAACTTGTAACACTCAAATATCCCACAAGTGAGTGCTTTCATTATACCACTTGAACTGTGGGGATCTATGGTAAGGGACAGAAAAGCCTCCCGGCCTGACTGGCTCCTGTGCACAGCTGGCCACCTCTGCATTCCCCAGGGCCAATATTTCGAGCTGCACCACTGCTCAGTGTGGGAACGATCCTTTGCACTTTCCCACCAGTACACAAAGCTAAGTACTGTAGGGTTCCCCAGCAGCACACTTCAGCTGCGACGCTAGATCTCCTATCGACCCAGGGATTAATTTCAGGCAAATTCTTTAACTTCAGTGAGCTTTGATTTCCTCATCTTTGAAAAGCTTTCAGACAGCTGCTGGCCCAACATCTCTCTACCCTCCTGTTTATTATGCACGACACTGCCAAAGTGCTTTTCAGCATGACACTTTGCCAAAATGTATTGCAGAACACAAATCCACTATCACGTTCCAGGTTAAAATCCTACAGCAACTCCTTATC